ATGGGCTGTGTACGTACAGGTGCAGTGATCTGTAAGCTGCTCTGACAACTGATGCTTAAAGTTAGTGAGGGATATAAGTGTCTCCAGTTTCAGAGATTTTTGCAGTTCGTTCCAGTCATTTGCAGCAGAGAACTGGAAGGAATGGCGGCCAAAGGAGGTGTTGGCTTTGGGGATGACCAGTGAGATATACCTGCTGGAACGCATACTACGGGTGGGTGTTGCTATGGTGACCAAGGATCTAAGATAAGGCGGAGATTTGCCTAGAAGTGATTTATAGATGACCTGGAGCCAGTGGGTTTGGCGACGAATATGTAGTGAGGGCCAGCCAACGAGAGCGTACAGGTCACAATGGTGGGTAGCATATGGGGCTTTGGTGACAAAACGGATGGCACTGTGATAGACTACATCCAATTTGCTGAGTAGAGTGTTGGAAGCTATTTTGTAAATGACATCGCCGAAGTCAAGGATCGGTAGGATAGTCAGTTTTACGAGGGGATGTTTAGCAGCATGAGTGAAGGAGGCTTTGTTGCGAAATAGGAAGCCAATTCTAGATTTAACTTTGGATTGGAGATGCTTAATGTGAGTCTGGAAGGAGAGTTTACGGTCTAACCAGACACCTAGGTATTTGTAGTTGTCCCCATATTCTAAGTCAGACCCGCCGAGAGTAGTGATTCTAGTCGGGCGGGCGGGTGCAAGCAGCGTTCAATTGAAGAGCATGCATTTAGTTTTACTAGCGTTTAAGAGCAGTTGGAGGCCACGGAAGGAGTATTGTATGGCATTGAAGCTCGTTTGGAGGTTTGTTAACACAGTGTCCAATGAAGGGCCAGACGTATAAAAAATGGTGTCGTCTGCATAGAGGTGGATCTGAGAGTCACCAGCAGCAAGAGCGACATCATTGATATACACAGAGAGTAGAGTCGGCCCGAGAATTGAACCCTGTGGCACCCCATAGAGACTGCCAGAGGTCCAGACAACAGGCCCTCCGATTTGACACATTGAACTCTATCTGAGAAGTAGTTGGTGAACCAGGCGAGGCAGTCATTTGAGAAACCAAGGCTATTTAGTCTGCCAATAAGAATGCGGTGATTGACAGAGTCAAAAGCCTTGGCCAGGTCAATGAAGACGGCTGCACAGTACTGTCTTTTATCGATCGCGGTTATTATATAATTTAGGACCTTGAGCGTGGCTGAGGTGCACCCATGACCAGCTCGGAAACCAGATTTCATAGCGGAGAAGGTACGGTGGGATTCGAAATTGTCGGTGATCTGTTTGTTAACTTGGCTTTCAAATACTTTCAAAAGGCAGGGCAGGATGGATATAGGTCTGTAGCAGTTTGGATCTAGAGTGTCACTCCCTTTGAAGAGGGGGATGACCGCGGCAGCTTTCCAATCTCTGGTGATCTCAGATGATACTAAAGAGAGATTGAACAGGTAATAGGGGTTGCGACAATTTGGGCAGCTAATTTTAGAAAGAAAGGGTCCAGATTGTCTAACCCAGCTGATTTGTAGGGGTCCAGATTTAGCAGCTCTTTCAGGACATCAGCTATCTGAATTTGGGTGAAGAAGCGGGGGGCGGGGGGGGGGGGCATGGGCAAGTTGCAGCGGAGGGTGCAGAGCTGGTGGCCGGGGTAGGGGTAGCCAGGTGGAAAGCATGGCCAGCTGTAGCAAAATGCTTATTGAAATTCTCGATTATTGTCCATTTATCGGTGGTGACAGTGTTTCCTAGCCTCAGTGCAGTGGGTAGCTGGGAGGAGGTGCTCTTATTCTCCATGGACTTTACAGTGTCCCAAAACTTTTTGGAGTTAGTGCTACAGGATGCACATTTCTGTTTGAAAAAGCTAGCTTTTGCTTTCCTAACTGCTTGTGTATATTGGTTCCTGACTTCCCTGAAAAGTTGCATATCGCGGGGGCTGTTCGATGCCAATGCAGTAGGCCACAGGATGTTTTTGTGCTGGTCAAGGGCAGTCAAGTCTGGGGTGAACCAGGGGCTATATCTGTTCTTAGTTCAGAATTTTTTGAGTGTACTGTAGCAACGGAAACAACATGTGTGTGTGTCATTTAGCTTGCTTCATCGGACATTAGGCTTTTGTAAAGAGCTTGACATCGGCAAGTCTTCGTCCTGGTAAAGTTGCCGGTACCTGGCGAGAACTCGGGACCTGCCTCACAAACACACGTGACTCTCCTCCCTCAAGCGTCTTAGCTGATCGTGCCACCTCAAAAACTAGCTAATGAGGCCAAGCAAGTGGGACATTTAAAGGAAAAATCCACCTAAAACCACTAATTCCTTCACTTTACAGTGTTAAATAAAACTATAATGTGAGAAGAATATTTTTTGTGAACAAATGTTTCATTTTTGGCGTTATAATAAGGTTGGTAGCAACATGGTAAATCGTTGAGGAAATCGGTTACAGCTCAAGTCGACTACAAAGTCCACAATGCAATGCTCTCTCTATGGGCTTGCTTGCTAGCTAGCAAACGTAGCTACACACAATAATCCCAAAGACAACATATCTAGTTAGCAGTAACATTGCCTAAACAAACTGCACTATCAATTTGGAGTCTACAATCTCACCATGTTCAACCTGCAGATCCATGTGCCTCACAGAGTGGAGTCTAACATTCGCAATAGCAGACATACTATTGAGGAGATGGGAAACGTTGCCCATACTACGTCAATGTGCATTCTGGGCGATTCTAGGACAAGGAGCGCTCTCCTTCAATAAGTTAATGTGAGTCTATTGGGCGCTAGCTCAAAAACCCAACATTAGCACGAATTTTGTCAACAAGAAGTACACCATTACAAATATTTTTTGAGATGTGAGATAATTAACTTGCTATCTAGCATCGTATAGCTTTGGAGTCCTGACATTATGTACTTTCGAGGAAAATAGGCACGTTTGTCGACATATACACTGACTTTGAGAAGGGATTGTGTGACGATTAGTTTAGCAAGAGTGTAACGCAGCATGACAATGTGAACGTGATTGGTCGACAGTCTGCTGGGTGGGGCGTTTACGTTCATTCATCATTGGATTCCTATCTCCTTTCTATAATATCCGTGGCAACCACACCGTGCAATGCACACTGTACTAAAGAGGCAGACAAATAGGAAAAATGTGCTCGACCCTCCGTTAAATTACACATTTCTCGAGGTAGGAATATCGCAAAAGTATGAACAATGGCTCATTCGAGAGAAGACATCCTCCCGAGTTATGACATCGGCCAGTATCGAAATATGACATGTATGATATACGTTTATTCCTATCAACTTCCAGTGTAGTGAGAGTGACTTTATCACGATGCTACGTCATACAGACCGGATTTCTGCCTGCTTGAACGCCAATAACTCAGATACACATGAAAACATGAAATGACCCTGGGAGTCGATAGAACATCACTCAGAGATGCACAAAAACAATATAACATTCAAAATGGGTGAACCTTTCCTTTAAGGCTGAGGAGTAACACACATCCCCATGTGCTCCACAGTTACTTGTATAACTCTCATGATAGAGCTAAATGTGCACATTTGTTTTGCATGGAATAATCGTTAATGTGTAATTTTGACTATGATTTTCAAGAGGTGATATTACAACCAAATAGTTAATATGTATTTAACAATACCTTGACAACGGCAAGCAGGTTTTAGTGGAGCTGGGGGTCTCCCTACCCCCCAGTAGGTAAATCAAACACCCTGCACGTTATTGTAACGTTTTATTGATAATGACCACAGATTTTGACTTTGTGGCTATGATAACTAGTGGAAACAGATTGAGCTGAAATCTGACGCAATCAGTAAGCGACGGCAAACTAATGAGATGGATTGTTTGACCACACAAGTGAGAGTTGTTTGTTATCGCTGAAACTTGTTTGACGATTGCAGAAATGTGGTACTTAAGATGCTTTTTAGTTGTGTTTATGTTTGTGAGTTATCGATACTGTAAGAACGAGTTAAAGTGGTGTCTCTGTGCAGACCGATCGCATTTTCATCCATGGAAACAGGAAACCATTTGTGTTACTAGCTAGCTAGTCAGCTTGCTATGCTAGCTATCTTATTCGCTACTCCAACGTTGTCGTGACTCTTCTGTGTTTTGATACACAATATTCACACGCTACAGTGTTACAACAGTAGAGGAATAGATTTATCAAATCATCGATTGCAACACGCAAAAGCAGCTCAAGTTATTGTAAACATGGCTGAGCATACTACTAGCTAGCTAGCTAACGACCTCACAGACAAGTTCAGTTGCCCAAAAAGTGATAAGTTACTCAGAATGGTTTATTTGCTGCAGACATCACCGTTATTAGCTGTACACGTTATTTTAACGAAGGATTAGCAATGTGTGTAATAATTTAATGTGCATGAATTAAACTGTGTTGGGACAACATCTGACAACACGGGTCACACCAGTTTCTTCTAATATGCCTAGCTATCTATCGACAATACTGTTTTCATCAAATTAAACTTCATTCACACATTTAGGCTATCCTAACACAGCTCTCTCTTTCCTTGAATGCAGCTTCTTCCTTGGCTTGTATGATTTGTCCTAGCAGGTAGGTAGAAGACCACCCACATAATCTGAATTCTTGGTGGTACAGTGTGTGTTCACTGTTTCACAAGCACGCCAGTCCGGAGTACTGTTTAGGGAGGTATAGGAGGAGCAGCAAAGTCTAGCCCTTGAGAAGGATAACCATTCTCCACCCTCTGAGACAAGACTCCAGGCTGAAACTGTCAACTACCTGGCCAGCCAGGGTGCAGGTTAGCTGGGCGATATGGACAAAGATCCATATCGCAATAAATTGCCTGAATTGATGCGATATCGATAACTGGAATTATATGTTTATAACATTGTGCACCGCAGTTTTTTTCATTTATTATCCTTTAAACTACTACTGGTTTGATGGTTGTAGCCATCATTGTGCTATTAACAATCACCCATATTTACAAACTTATCATTTCTCTACTATAGGCTACTTATCGTAATGAACGATATCAGCAAAATGCCTGCGGTAAGTGATCGGTATGGTCGATTTATCGTCCCAGCTCTAGTCCAGGGTCCTTATCCACACACACTAAGGCAGAGAGTCCATCCACTGGGAAGCTCCCTGGTTCAGTGCTCCTGAGGGCTGGGACCAGCTCTGAGGGCCAGAGGCAGCTGTGAAGGGATGGGGTAGTAGCTGAGGACAGAGCCATGGTTCATAACGGCTCAGCCCCCCCCACACCACCGCCAGCACAGGTGAGCGCCAATTGCCGCTCCTCTGGGAGGAAGAGGACACCCAAGGCATGTGACTGCTGTGGGCCCAACTCTAAGCACCACAATGGGAAGGCCCCACATGGGAAGACTCCAGGTGGCAAGCCCCGACAACGCAGGGCCCAGCCGGGGAAGGGCAGGGGCCAGGCACTGGGGGAGACCCCCAAGAGGACGGGTGGTCACCCCTCTTATAAGAAGATCCTGATGACAGAGGAGCAGGTAACAGCCATCCGAGAGGAGCTGGAGAAAGACTCTGCTGTGGAGCAGGTAACCAACTCTTTGGCTCCACCTATAACCAACTCTGTCAGTCAACCTGTAATGAATGTTGTGGCTCAACTTGTAACCAACTCTGTCGGTCAACCTTTAACGGACTCTATGGGTCAACCCTTAATGAACTCTATGGGTCAGAAGTTAACATACACTGTGGTTAAACTGTTGACCAAGTCTGTGGTTCAACCGGTAACAAATGCTATGGTTCAAACGGTAACAAACTCTGTGGTTCAACCTGTAACGAAGACTGTGGTTGAGCATGTTGCTGATTCAGAGATGGAGCAGGAGAAAGCCTGTGAAGGGGCTGTGTGCGAGGGGGAGCAAGCCACTGGTCTGGAGAAGGAGCAGAAAACTGGTTGTGGTTTAGACAAACAGCCGGTAACAGACTCTAACACGGAGGTCGTGAAGCAGCCCCAGGCTGGTGACGCAGCAGTCTCCCTTTCCAACGGTACATCTGCTGTCCCCGAAGAGGAACCAACAGACTGTAGCACCCCTATGGAGGTGGAACCATCAGCCACAGCCTGTGTTTCCCCAGGCATTAGTCTGTGCAGCACCCTCCACCCCTTCGCTCTGTGCGACCACAGAGATTACTGCATGATGGGAGTGTGGGCTCCAAGCCCTGAGCCAGAGGAGGACGGTGCCCCAGACCCAGCACAGCAACCCAAACCTGAAGACGGCATCCATGAAGTAATCAGAGACCTCATCCATGGTACCAGGCTTTTATTGTAACTGTGATTTTCAAATTGGATACATTTTAAAGTTCATATTACTTTGTTACTTATTTAAGGTGTGTTGTTATTGATTCCTGTCTTGTCTCTCTCTCAGAGTTCCTGGCGCTCTTCTATGTGAAGTACGGGAGCTTTATTCCCCTCAGTGAGACTGACGTCCTGGAGCACCTGAAGAACAAGTGTAACACTGACCTACATGACAAGTACGAATCATTCGAGATACACCCCACAAACCAGTTTCAATTTCACAGTTGATTTCCAGTGTTATGCTGATAGCATCTCTGTTTAATTTCTCTACTAGGAAGCTAAACATCCACTCAGAAGTGGTGAAGTACAAAGCGGGTCTCGCCTCCACCCCTAGGAAGTGCTTCAAAGTGGACTACAACAAGCACACTCTGACCCTGGAGGATCTGTCCACGCTGGACGACCAAAACTGGGTCAACGACCAGGTAGCTATGGTCCACAGGAAACTGTGTGCTTGCTGCTCATAAACCTGATTTGCCTATGTATTATCTAACCTGAAATTCAAACGTTGTCGTGTTTCTGTCTAGGTGATAAACATGTATGGAGAATTGATCGTGGAGGCTACACAGAACAAGGTGAGAGTACTGTACATGCCTAAGTGCATTCATTTTGGGTCCTTGGATCAGAATGTTCAACAAAGGGTTAATAGTAGTCTTCTGTTTGGTTACTGAATGTTCTCCTGTTCTCTCCTGCAGGTTCATTTCTTCAACAGCTTTTTCCACAGGCAGCTGGTGGCCAAAGGCTATGAAGGGGTTAAGAGATGGACCAAAAAGGTAAGCTGGTGGTAGGTGATGGAAGATGCAGCCATTTTATCGCTAGTTTGTGTGGCGTTAATATGATATGACCTGCAGGACCGGAAATGTAAAGGCTCACTGTTTATCTGAGACCGTCAGTCTCGCAGAACTAGCTAAATTAGAATATGTCAGTGATTGTGGTTAATCTGGTCTCTCTCTCTCTCTCTCTGTTTCACAGGTGGATCTGTTTTCCAAGAGGCTGTTGCTGATTCCTATCCACCTGGAAATCCACTGGTCCCTGATCACAGTGGACATCGCCAACCACCACATCCACTACTATGACTCCCAGGGCATAGTCTTCAAATACACCATGGAGGTACGCTCACTCACACTTTAAAGTCCTCTGCCTTTCTCTGAAACTCAGTTGCTTCTGAATTTCATCCTAGACCTGAGGAACATTGGTTTGATCTGATAAGCATTGAACATTTTAACATTGGTCTACGTCAGGGTTGTCAAACTCATTCCACAGAGGGCCTAGCGTCTGTGGGTTTTCCTTTCAATGAAGACCGACAACCAGGTGAGGGGAGTTTCTTTACTAATTAGTTACCTTATTTAATCATCAATCAAGTACAAGTGAGGAGTGAAAACCTGCAGACACTTGGCCCTCCGTGGAATGAGTTGGACACGTGGTCTACATTGTCCACATTTTGGGAACCCTGAAGGAGTCAGTTTGCAACTTTCTTGTGAACTATGCATGCAAACCCTTGTCTTCTTCTGTTCATCTGGCCCACAGAACATCTTGAGTTACATCCTGGCTGAGGCCAAGGAGAAGAAACAAGCTGGCTATCAGAAAGGCTGGAAGATGACTATAAACAAGGTATTGTTTCAGATGGTACCATGTGACTGTGTTCTCTCTCGTGCTTTCTGATAGACTCTGTGTTGACCACTGTCTGATTGGTTCCCACCCTCAGGGTATTCCTCAACAGAAGAACGACAGTGACTGTGGAGTCTTCGTCTTGGAGGTGAGTGGGGAATTTCCCTCTCGTACCGCAAATTCCCCACACACATACCTTGTGGTAAACCTTTCCTATTAACCTTTTCCCCCCCGCTTTGTTTCTCTCAGTACTGCAAGTGCCTGGCATTAAAAGAGCCGCTGCAGTTCACACAGGATGACATGCCCAAAGTCCGCCAGAGGATTTACAAAGAGCTCTGTGACTGTAAACTGAATGAATGATCAACCGCAGCAGCACAGCTCAGAGTACACCTGCCTTTCCAGTGGCCCATGGGCTTAACGACTGTTTGACTCTTATTGTGGAAGGGCCATTAATACTTTAAAACATGACGAGCCAAGAAGCTGAATGAAGTGCCGTGGAAACAGGACACGTTGTTTGACTAACGAGACGGTGACAGCAACCAGCTTTCTTTCTGTTTTCCTTCAGTGGAGGGCCAGCAGTGCATAGTTGGATTTCTTTTTATACCGTGATAATGGGAGGGACTTTGAATTCCTTTTGAGTTGACGTCCACAAAGTTTCCACTGCTGACCGGCTGACCTGGAGCTAACACTGCTGGTAGGTTTCAGAGGCCAGAAACGGACCTACAGGTGTTTATAACACGTTTCCTAGCTTCAGTTCTTGAAATGTAAACAGGAGATTAAACGGGACAGTAGGTGAAATGTAAAGGTTCTTGTTTTATATCATGTAGCATTTGCCTGACTAGTGAGGTAGAGAACAATAACTAATGGAAGGCTAGCTTTTAACTGAATATACTGTTTTAATGTTACTTCATCTCAAACTGCTTCTTAGTTCCTGAGAAAACTCCACGTTTGGCATCACAAACAGCAGTTTATCAGGGAGTTGTGAATTAACCATGATGCTCCACTGATAATGGCTTCATGACAACACGCACCTCTTCCTGCTTCTGTTGAAAATATCCTGTTAAAACAATAAGAAAGTGTATCTTTACATTTTAGTGTACAGAAGAAGAAATGCTACTGCAGTAGAACCGTTTCTAAGCCTTTTTATTGTACGAGGGCCCGGCAAGCTATGGTTATCTTCCTCATCGGAGGATCACCAATCACTTAGGTGGTGTCAGTTACCCATCTGAGGGTGCTGGTCCACAGACTGGCTGTAGTTGAGAAATGCTGCTGTGGAACATGCTGAATCCCATCTATACTGTCTCATTAATGCATATTGGAGCCCAGTTTATACCTGGTGCTAACATGCCTTTTGTCCTAAACGACGTCCACATTCTGATCGTGCCCACATTGTTAAGACAGGTGTAGACGATTTAAAGTGTCTGGATATCAATCAAGTGTAAACAGATCTGGATGGTCAAACCGTTTCAATCACCATACCAGCCTCAAATCATTAACAGCTAGCACCATTGACTTATGGCATCAGTAATTGTCTTTAAATAAATCCAGATTATTTAGAATTTGCCAATTAATTAGGCACCAGCTGATCTGGTCACAGTGTGGAATGTGGACGGATAAGAAGCATTTTACTACAATGGGTAGATGCGACAAACCTTGATCCAGATAGTGATTGGATCACATTGATCAGATCACAAAACTCACATGGTGGCATAAGGTGTAAACAATGCTTTTGTACCATTGAAGAGATCATGTTCACAGCGTTCTCTAATCTGTTTGATCTTCGAGAAACTTCCTGATTTTGATTTCATTTTGTTCCGTTCTTGATTTGTACTTAAGTTGCTATGTCATAGTGTTTTTTTATGCAGGGTTATGCTGATAAAGACACCCAGAGGGGATTAAATTGGGATTCTCTAGATGGGTAAACTGACCTCATAGGTTCCCAATGTATGCGGTTTAATCCTAAAATGGTGGAACAGTTTTCTTCCCAAATTCATCCCTGAATACGTTCAAACACAAACACATTGGTTTCTCCACTTTGGTTTTAAGTAATGTTGAGATGACAAGAGCACAGGGTTGTTGTAACAGCATTGACAGGATGCCCAGCCACACAGGACTGGAGCGATGATTCCATTATGTTTGTATTTTTATTATATAAAGAACAGGGTCAATTCCATTTCAATTCAGGAAGTACACTGCAATTCCAATATTCTTCAATTAGGAGAATTTGGTTTACTTTCTGAAATTGCAATGTAATTGACGCCCAACCACGGTAAGGAAGAACTAATACCTATACAAAAGAGCAGATATGTTTGTCAACTCCCCACGTTGGCGACTGGATGGATCTGTTGTTCATGTTAACTGCTTCAGCAAACAATGTCCCATATGAGGATGTTCAATGGGTGGGCAGCGATATGGAGGCGTTTGGAAAGTCACTTTGGTGTAACAATAAAACGGTTTCCCTGACAGAGGAGCATATGTGTGGTGATTCCCCGATACTCGCAGTTTACATTTAAACGGTAATTTCACGACTGAGCAGACCTATGCAGCGTTTACCGTGAATGTGTTAACGTTGCCTTTAAAAATGTCAACCGCACTAGAGATTGAAATTATCCCTTTTTTTGGTTAATGTTCCTGCGGTTGCAGAGATCCCATTCACGGTAAACGCTACATCTGTCGGCTCAATCGGAAATTGCCTTTAAAAAGCCACAATGCCTCTAACCTGCGATCCTATTGGATCCTGGTGTGGTGACACTGATGGTTTCTCGGAACTGATGGCTTCTAGCCTACGCAGCAGGTTATAGCTAACGCAGCAGGTTAGGAGAAACAGGTTAGGGTTAGTTAAATTGCTACAGTTGTCGCAACTTGAACAGGCAAGTTTTGGTCCGTAGCTTTTCTCTGTCTAGACACAACCATAGGAGCCATACGTTCTGAAAGCCATCAATATCACCTCATTGGCCTTAACCAGCCAGCGGTGAACCTGTGTTTACAAACACTTCATCCATGAGATAAACTACTCTGAATCAGATCAGAAGAGTTGCTCCACATTTCCAGGACAAAGCAGTGTTCCAGTTTTTATAGTAGATACATTTAGGATAAAACTTTTTTTTTTTTTTTTTTTACATTTTTATATTTATTTTTTAAAAGTATACAGTTTAGGAGACAATTACATTTGTAAACGTGTATGGACTGCAACCTTCAATCTGAGCAAGTTTATTCTTCTCTAGACGAGTTTTACACTGCTCAAAATGACTGTTGGAACTATGGCTAACTGAAAAATACTTCACAGAAGACTTCTTCCTAAATAAACTAGTCATAAGAGAAATAGACAACCCTGGCAGACGTCTACAGTCTTGTTTGGTTCCCAAATTGAACCCAGATCAAATTCACCAAACTAAAAACTGTTCTGTGCCTCGGGAGGTCTCTGCAGCTGAGCTAATTTCCCATATCCACCTCGAGCAGGGTCATAATCTTGTCTATATTCATCTCTGACCTGGAAAAAGGCAAAAAAACAGCAGATAACATGTTGACTCAGGCTCATGACACTAGTTTTCCATAGCCCTCCCCAAAGAAACAGCATAGGACACGGTTTTATGGTCGTGAGACGACTTTCCCATAGCCCCCCCGGGCTGGGTCATAATCTTGTCTGTATTCGTCTCTGACCTGAGGAGAAAAAGAGACTCACTTGTTTGTTTTGCCACAGACCCTGTTAAGTTTTTTGGTCTATTAGGGAGTGGCATAGTTCACATTCGACCGTGAGTTCTGTCTCCTCATGATAGATCCTAGAAAGTCTCCGAACGGTGAGACAACATGGTCACAATTACATGACCCATTAACATTGAACATGTTTGTCCAGTTGATAATACAGCATTGTTACAGTGTTATATGTAACTTTTAAAGTTCTCATCCAAACAATATCAACCAGTTAACGGTATCACTTTAATGAAAACTACAATTTTGTGAAAACTATCAATTCCAATAGAAATAAAAAACCAGAGACAGCTAGCTAATATACAACCATTGATGTGCACAGTTGTCTCTGATGTAGTAAGCATGCATTTTTCTTCTGTAAATTTACCTGACCACCGGACTTGCCACGGCCATACTGCCTGCCCTCTTTGAAACCAGCGTCCCAGTCAGTTCTGATGATGCGGTCATCCAGACGTGTCCCGTTGACAAACCTCATAGCATTTTCTGCATCTGTACGCGTGTAGTACCTGGCACAGGGGTTAAGGTGCTCTAGTGGTCAATGTGCCGGTTTCCAGGAACACAGATTAAGCCTACTATTGGACTAAAATGGACTTCCAATGGTCAATCTCCACCGAGTGTGATTTTTAGACTAGGACTAGGCTTAATCTGGGTCCTTTTTAGTGTAGGACTAGTTTTAATCTGGATCCTTTTTAGTCTAGGACTAGTTTTAATCTGGATCCGGGAGCCCTAAGTGTATGGGTATAGGATTAAATGTTGAACCAAAACACAACATCCACAAGTAAAAAAAAAAAGGATACTCGACGAAGCAGAAGCCGCACGCCGTCTTCTTCACCTTATCCAGGCCGATGATGATTCTCTTTACATCCCCACTCTTGGAGAAGAGCTCGTACACTTGTTCTTCTGTGGTGTAAAAGGACAGGTTGCCCACGTAGAGTGTGTTAGCCTGTTTCAGAAGTTTCTCTTGCTCATATCGATTGCCCTGGAGAATGGAGAGGGGAGAACATCTTTAGAAGAGTCTAGTAACTGCACAGCCAGGGAGCCAAATACACTAACTAACATTAGCTGTTAGTATTATTCACAACTCATTTACACTGACATGGGTAATGCTGTTGCAACATGGTCTCAGAGCATTTCTTATTATTCTGTAGGTAAATTCGTGGCACTACATTTCGTATGATATATTACGTTTCATATGGTATGTTTTAATTTGTGGATCTCCATCATCCATTTGTATGATATGTTTCGAATTGAAATTCATACAATATGTTACGATTTTGCAAACGGGTCAGGGGTTAAGGTTTGGGTTAGTGGAAGGATTAGCTAACGTTCTAAATTGCTAAAAAGTAGTAAGTAGTTGCAAAGTTGCTAATTAACTAAAATGTTAAAGTTGTCCGTGATGAGATTCGAACACACAACCTTTGGGTTGTTAGACGTTTGCAGTATAATATACGTTTTTAAGTAAGATTCCGTCTTTATGTAACCATACCAAACATAAGATATCATACTAATTTCAACATCTCGGATTTACGTTTACTATGTTATGTCTAGTCTCTTAGACCAGTCTGATTAGAGGTCAGTTTGATTTGTTCTGTAAACTGTAACTAATTACAGGTTAGTCACTATGAAAACACTCTTTGACCCATTCCTAGGAGGCAAACATCCTTAAATATAATATCCATGTTTTGAAAGACACAGGTAAATCATTAACAACGTTTGGCTGAAATAAAAGACAGCACGTTGCAAGCTACCGTTCGCTTGATAGCGCGCTATAACACACAAAAGATAGCTAACGTTAGCTAGCAAAACTATTCTACTAATTGATTCCCGATCGATTTTAACCATTCCTTACCTTAAAATGTTGGTCTCTGTATTGGCTTACGTCAACATAGGAGTCGCTTAATAGCGCATTCAATTTAATAGACATTATGTCGCTTTAAAGATGAAACGGAGAAATATGTTTCTTACACCAGCGTCTCATCAGCAACACTAAAAAGTACTTCCAGGTCACGGAATGTAGAAATATTCAAAGTAAAAGTCCCCCACGTAATAGTATATATGAACAAGTATTCTTTAAACATTAACAGTGATTCATATTTGTTCATATTTAATTGACATTTACATTAAATTTGGTTTTTAAAACAAGTTCCAAGGTCAAATAAATGTATCCAATGCAATACACTACATGAAATACATATTGTCTTATAGAGAGAAAACTATTCTAGGTGCTAAAGTAAAAGTGGGGTTGTAATTACTCACTAGGATCTGTAAAATCTATGAATGGTGTTATTTCATGGGGGACTGAGGTCTGTATACCCAGAAAGACTTTATACTCAACCCATTCTCCTGTAGCTCAGTTGGTAGAGCATGGCCCTTGCAATGCCAGGGTTGTGGATTCGATTCCCACGGGGGGCCAGTATGGAGAAAAAAAATGTATGCACTCGCTAACTGTAAGTCGCTCTGGATAAGAGCGTCTGCTAAATGACAAAAATCTAAATCTAATTACATTGGCCACAATGCAATACTCTGTATTTGAAAGCCCAAATACATTTTGGGCTATATATAAAAAGTTGATTACCTGTGTTGTGAAATGTGGGTCTGAAATTTCATCAAATGTGTCAGTTAATTCACGGTCCAACACAGTGGTTCTCAACCATGGGTACTAGGACCCCTCAGGGGACTTGGCCTATCCACGGTGGGGGCTGGGGGGGTACTTGAGAAGACCAATGAGACCAAAGGCTTACTGGTAAAATGCACAAAAGGGGGTACTTCAGGCAGAGCTAAATTCAGTTGGTGGTACAGTAAGCGAAAAGGTTGTGAACCACCTGGTCTAACACACACTATGATACAATTCAGTCATTTCAATCACTCATAGAATAAATCCATTAAATGAGTGTGGGCACCGATAATGAAATCTAAATCGATATCAGTTGCATTTTTTCGATTCAATATTGATATCAAATCGGTTTGTAGAAAATCCAATGCAACTGTGTGAATGTTCATGTTTCTGTGAAGTCCAGACAACTGTTCGCAGATTATTTTAATTTGTCAAACGGCAGCCAAGCATCGATCATCATGTAACCAGAAGAAGACCCTCGATATTTATTTGAACGGAGCATCAAGCTCATCACCTTGCACTTTCACCACCCTGTGAAGTTCATCATAGCTTATTTAATCTGTAGCCTAATAAACATTGTGCTTTCCTGAGTCGAAGTGGGAGGACCACACATCATGTCATCACGTGACTCCAGTTTTCGATATGATGGTTATTATATCAATTTTGCACATAAAAGCGTTTCCACTGCCATGTCTCGCATAATTAATTTTACAGACACTAAAAATATTGCTGGGTATTTAGACCTCCGTCCCCCATGAAATAACACCATATATAGATTCTACAGACCCTACTGATTATTCCCAACCCCACTTTTACCTTGGCACATAGAATCGTTTTTTCTCTAGAGCCCAATATTGTGAACATACCAGTCTGAACATTGTATTTTTCCATAGTGGTCTTTAAAATGTTTTTTAGAAGCATATTTGTAATTGTTTCCATAAATTCCTTCTTGCATTTGCTTATAAGCACAATAAACATGTCATTTCTTTTGAATGAGTTATCCACATTGCAATGTTTTGAAATACATGCTTTTATTTTGAAGGATTCTTCATTACCATACGAAAGTGACGTCATCTTTTATGCTGCTGGCAGAATAGTGTGTGTCTGTCTGATGTAACCTCATGTCTCAAAGTAGCGGTCATCTGAATCAACAAGGAAGTATGTGAGAAACTCTTCGACATTAATCTTAACTTTACCTGCGACATAGGTGACTCCTTACATCATATTATAATAAAGATAGTATTGATGTTTGCTCATAAACTAACGTATTTTTCGGAAGGTAGCTAGCTAGCTAGCTAAGCTAGCGTTAGCTAACTCTGGGCAGGTGAAATAACATCAGCTGTCTGTTGTTTGTTTTACAGGTGATAACACAATTTATTTACTGTACGAGATGGCCATCCTTCGTATGTTGTTCTCTTTGCTGAACAATCCACGGGTCATTGAGAAACTAGCGGAGTCTCGTCCTATCCGACGTGCGGCACAGATCGCAGCTTTTGCGATCATCAAAGCGCAAATCGCTGGGAGGGGTGCAACAGCGAAGGTTCTGAAATCAGAGACACTACGCCAGGTTCGGCAAGAGGCAAACGGCCGGATTCCCCGAGACATTGGTGACATCGGGACCCGGTTCAGGAGAGTGAGGGAGACTTTTGTCAAGGAGGTGAAAGATGGCTTCAGAGACGCTCAGGGACAAATAAAGAAATGAAGAATTTAATGTGAAATAAAATTCCCGTGATTGAACTCCCACAGCAGTAGCCTATGTCTTTATGACAGACATACAAAAATGTTACTGTTCATAACGAGACCGACATGACCTGTCCCACAACTGTCTAGGCCGACTACTGTTGCATCACTGAGCCAATCTTTTAATATATAGAAGGGAACACTAACTTACATGTCTCAAACATACTCAAGCTGTATTTTCCACCAGGGAGCTGTCTTGATATCATCATGTAATGAATCAGGGGTGCAACTTCCACTGGGGATGGGGGGGGGGGGGGGTACATGTCCCCCAACATTCAGAAATTGCATTTTTGGAGTTGGTGTTTGTAGATATGGAATTGTCTACCTGATTTGACATGCAGATTACCACCATATAGAATGTTTGCTGTAATGCAGCCCCTCCCCATGACAGTTCCCATGACATTTTATGACTTGAGGTGTCTGAAGGTTTGGATTGACCTCACCTATTGGCCAATTCTTAGTGTGTGTTTTAAGTTATATTTTAAATGAAATGTAATGTATTTGACCAATAAAGGATATTCAGATGAAAAATGACTAGACCACACAAAAGGTTTAGGGCTCTATTCAATCAATCCGTATTGCAGAAATTCTGCCCTAAAGTCCAATTGAAATTCCAAGGCAATGTTACCGCATTGGCGGAGACTGCATTCACGGTAAACGCTGCATGTCGGCTCAATCGGAAATTACCTTTCCATTTCTATCACGAAATCTGTAACGCTTCAGTGCTATTACATTTACATTTACGTCATTTAGCAGACGCTCTTATCCAGAGCGACTTACAGTTAGTGAATACATATATATATATATATATTTTTTTTCCATACTGGCCCCCCGTGGGAATCAAACCCACAACCCTGGCGTTGCAAACGCCATGCTCTATCAACTGAGCTACATCCCTGCCGGCCATTCCCTCCCCTACCCTGGACGACGCTGGGCCAATTGTGCGCTGCCCATGAGTCTCCCGGTCGCGGCCGGCTGCGACAGAGCCTGGATTCGAACCACTCAGGAGTTATGGATTGAATAGAGCCCTTAATCGCTGACACCAGCATGTGTTTTACACCTGGGGAGCAAGCTGACTGATAGGTTAGGCAGTATGCCCTATCTCTTGAAATAAGCATCTTAACAACACTGATATTGTGGGTAGAATACAGTTAGGACTGGGCTATGGTAGCTACTAGCCAGTACAAAAGTAATTGGAAAAGGTATTTGCCTTTTTGCTATGGCTAAGAGGTAGCATTGTGTTGATTACTGTGTAGACATGAACCTCAACTCACCTTGCATGTTTAAAGTTCACTATTTCACTTTATCATAGAGGTTGGCCCATAAAGAGGCTATGATAACTGCCCTTAGTTCTGAACCTTGAGTGATCAGAGCCATAAGACTGTAAACCCCATGAACTCCTCTAAGAACTTCCATTCAAACTGCAGTTACAGCAAAGAACGCGAGGACTTCAGTCCATGATTGTGTGCGAGTATATTTCATTGTAACCTTTCGGCTTTAACCAATCACCGTGGAGATTGTCACGTCCACCATGAATGTATTGCACGGCCCTTGACACTGTAGATGGGCTGACTGACACAATGTACAGGTTACAGGTTCTCATTCAGAACCTACTACTACAGTAAAATGTTTCACAATGGACCACCAGCTTCCATATGCAGATTTTTTAATAAGAACAGCAGAGAATTCTTAAATAAGCAGTATGTAGCTATACTTCTGCAGACACACTGGCCTGGCAACTAAATATTAGTTACATGTTTTATCATTTCATCGAAGAAATTGCTATGACTTTGAAGGCAGGCGTTTGTTTCTGACAGAAATGAGTCAGTACTCAGTACATATACACTGATATGGTACCTGAGCTTCATATAAACGTATCTCTCATTGAAATAAACGTAAAAATCAAGCTGATATTCTGGACAGGAACACAAAATTGCAAAAGAGCAGTAAAAATAAAACAAAACACTGCGCTGTGCAGGAATCAAGAAGCACTTGATCAGAGTTGGGTAGAGTTCCATTCCTTATAATCACTATTGTTATAGATTATGGATCTTAGCTCATGTGTACAACATTGGAATGTAATATAAGAATTTAAACCTGACTGTAATTTTCAACATTCCACATTACTTCAAAATCACTCAGTTTCAAAAGCAAAAACAGGAATGGCTTGTTCAATGTTCTCTCCAAAAAGAATGAAAGTTCTGACCGATGCAAGTGCATATCAGGTGCAAGCAGGTTCCAATCCATAATATTTATCAGTAGGCTATAATTCGCATCATTCTTATCATAGAATTTGATTACCAGCCAAGCAAATTTAAACTTCTAGGCCTCTATTCAATCTGTATCGCTGAAGTGTTATGCAGCGTTTACCATGACTGCAGTCTCCGCTATCGCGGGAACATCGCTTTTACATTTCAGTAACGCTGAACTTCCGTGATACGGATTGAATCGAGCACCTAAATGCGGATAGTGAGCAAGTTGTCTTGGCTTAAATGTTTGTCTTTCCAGGATTTGGGGAGAACACATGAATAGAACAACCCTTTGACTCTTTTCAATCCATTTCACAACATACATCCTGTAGTTCAAGCAGTGCATATTCACTGATATGGCATTAGCTTATACAGTAGAGGCGGAATGTGCAAAACACGCCATATTCCCAGATGTGTTTTGTGCCCATAAGTAGTACTCAAAAGAGTCAGTGTAGGCAACATAAACGATGCGGAGAGAAGGACACTGCATAGTAAAGTATGTAACAGGTAAAAGCATATGCACTGATATGGCAGTTACAGTCAGTAAGCATAATAGCGATGAAGTCCCTTGTCATCTCTGGTTGGGAATGAGTTCATCTCCTGTGGCTCAACCAAAGAAAACATGCTCTTTTCCCCATTGACTGACAGGGCTCAATAAGCACCTTGACTCACTGACTCAACAACAGTGATCATAATTTAGACCCAAGTCAAATAGTATTTTCAACATGTTACCCTCCATCACAAATCCTAGTATCAACATATACAGTAGTTTAGTACAATCGTAAGCTATGAATCAGATACAGAGGAAGAGATGCGGACATGCACAGGGGTTAGGGTTGGGGCTGGAACATGGACAGGGGTTAGGGTTGGGTTAGGGTTGGAACATGCACAGGGGTTAGGGTTGGGGCTGGAACATGGACAGGGGTTAGGGTTGGGGCTGGAACATGCACAGGGGTTAGGGTTGGGTTAGGGTTAGGGCTGGAACATGCACAGGGGTTAGGGTTGGGTTAGGGTTGGAACATGCACAGGGGTTAGGGTTGGGGCTGGAACATGGACAGGGGTTAGGGTTGGGTTAGGGTTGGAACATGCACAGGGGTTAGGGTTGGGGCTGGAACATGGACAAGGGTTAGGGTTGGGGCTGGAACATGGACAGGGGTTAGGGTTGGGGCTGGAACATGGACAGGGGTTAGGGTTGGGGCTGGAACATGGACAGGGGTTAGGGTTGGGTTAGGGTTAGGGTTGGGTTAGGGTTAGGGCTGGAACATGCACAGGGGTTAGGGTTGGGGCTGGAACCTAGATAGGGGTTTGGGTTGGGGCTGGAACATGGACAGTGGGCTGGGTTGGGTTAGGACATTTCTTCTTACACCCAGAGGAAGATGGAGCTCATCAGAGCCACCAGGAGCAGGGAGGACAGTGCTGCAGGCCAAACACACATACTTCAGTACAACAGCTACTGTTCTTGAAGCATTACTGTCAGTAACATGAGTTAGATCAAAGTGTGTGTGAGTTTGTGTACTGTACCTTTAGCAGAGGCGTTGCACTCCATGTTGGTAAGTGAGTCCATGTAGCCCTGTCCCAGCCACTGGTCGTAGGTCTTCCTCTCAGCCACTCCCATCATGCTGACAGTGGAGTCTTTGAAGATGAGGTCAGAGCCCTGGTACTTAGAGGAGTCAAACATCTTGAACCCTGAACCTGTGTCACTACTATAGTACTCCTGTAGGGAGATGAAGAGGAGAAAAGTGTATCAACTGCCACTTGGCTTTATCAGCATACAGTTCACCGTTTAATGTTCACTTTTTAAGGTGTGGGTAGAAGGGCTATTTATTTATTTATATTATGTTGTGCCACATGGGTACAATCAATCAACCAATCAACCAATCAATCAACCAATCAATCAATCAATCAACCAATCAACCATCACTCAATCAATCACTCAATCAATCAACCAATCACTCGATCAATCACGCATTCAACCAATGGCCTGGTCAGTCTTACCTGTGCTTTGTCCAGCAGGCCGTAGAGGGCGTAGATGTTGGTGTCGGGCCCGTACCATAACAGCGTGGGAGGGGACGCGGGCCAGGTTACAGTGGGCGTACTGGGTGACCTCTGCCCTGGAGCCATGGGGACACAGCAGCTGGAAGTCCTTAGACTGCAGGTCAATGGCCCACGACTCACCTGAGTTACCTAGAGGACAGAGAGATTTTTATTATTTTTTAAACTTATTTTAGTAAATACTTTCTTAACACTTATCTTTCTTAAATCTGCATTGTTGGTTAAGGGCTCGTAAGTAAGCATTTCACTGTAAGTTCTACACCTGTTGTATTAAGCGCGTGTGACAAATAACATTTGATTTGATTTGATTTGACATACACACAGAGATACATGGAGATAGATAATTTACCACAGAGATACATGAAGATACATAACTCTCCTAATTCACAGATACTGTATATGAAGTTATGCAGTCAAAGAGCAACGTGTCTGCAAGTTGTTAATGATTGGAAAACATTTCCACATCCTCTTGATAGGTTTATGGTTCCGGTAATGGGTTAATGGGTTTATGGTTCCGGTAGTGGGGTTATGGTGCAATGATAATAATGGTTGGTTTCCTGACCGGAGATGGTATGCAACACACGTGCACGCACACGCACACGCACACGCACACGCACACGCACACTTACCATCGGTGTTTTGGAAGACAGTGGTGTGTTTG